AGGCACGGCATCAGCCCCACTGACGACCCCGTGGTCCCCCCGCAGCCCGACGGCACCCTGGCACCCCTGGAGATCGTGCTGCTGGACAAGGTGTCCAATGGCTTTCGTGGTGTCATCCAGCTGCTGGAGTGGTTCGAGCTCCCCAACAGTTTCTTGTTGGTGATGGAGCGTCCGGAGCGCTCTCGGGACCTCTCTGGCTTAATCACGGTGTGGAGGTTCCTGCCGGAGGAGGTGGCGTGGGGGCTGTTCCACCAGGTGCTGAAGGCCGTGCGGCACTGCACCAGCTGCAGCGTCCTGCACCGGGACATCAAGCCTCAGAACATCCTCCTCGACCTGGCCACCGGCGAGGCCAAGCTCCTGGACTTTGGATGTGCCACCTTCCTTCAGGACACGGTCTACACCCAGTTTGCAGGTGAGCCCACAGCCGGGGGATGCTCCTGGTGCTGGGTATGGCATGGCCATGCCCGGGTGTGGCACCGGAGATTGCCCCTTTTGGTGAGGGGGAATAGGATTAGTTCTTCAACCAATTTGCTTTGGGATGGGGCTGGGGGGTTATTGTGAGACGGGCCCCGGCCTTACCGACAGCCTGTGCCACCCACCCTGTCCTGGGCTGTGTGTGGGGCAGGGGGAAGCCAGCCTGACCAAAACCCCTGTGAGGGTAGCAGAGAAGGGGGTCAGAACTGTGCACCAGCTGGCTTGGTGTGCAGGCGAGGAAGGGCTTGGGCTGCTCTGCTCGCCTTGTTTGCCTTGGCTTATGATGAATTGTTGGGGGCAGTGCAGTGGGGTGGGGAGAAGGCAGGGCTTTTCCCCACCACTGGGTGGGTTTTTCCCTTGCATGTAATGGTTTGGCCTTCCCAGGGCTTCTGCTGCCCTCTTGGACACCAGTGGCTTCTTCTACAACCCCAAGTTTGTAACCAAGAGTCAGGGGCCAGTGAGAAGGCAGTGGGTCACAGTGTGTGCCACTGGGGCAGGCCCCACATTGCCAGGGATGCTGGGGTGAGGCTCTGGGAGCAGGCAGCATCCACCTGACGAACTCCGTCTGTATTCCGTAGGAACACTGTCATACAGCCCGCCAGAGTGGATCTGCTTCAAACGCTACCGCGGCGAGGCGGCAACGATCTGGTCCCTGGGCATCCTGCTCTACCAGATGGTCTGCGGGAAGCACCCTTTCTGCAAAGGCACCAACACCATCTGGGACCAGCTCCCGTTCCC